GTTTACAAGAGCTGAGCAGGGCAGTTGAGGACAGGACATGTTGGGGATCTCCCATTCATAGGGTCATCCTAAGTCAGAGGTGACTTGACAGCACATAACAACAACAATGCTTGTCTTGGCTGTATTATGCATTACTCAGTGTTTGTTGATGTTAAACAAATATTAATGATTTATTACTTCTATAATTTTACTTGGAGAAAAACTTAGTGGCTAACCAAAACCAAACAACTTGACATAACAAGAATCTAATGGAAAGGGAAAAAAACAGTTGGTATCTTTCTCAACAACGGAATGTTAAACTTTAGAAGAGAAATGCAATATGATTATTCAAGTTTTGGGAGCAGACAGAATGTGAAGAAAATGAGAAGGAAATTGAAAATGTTGATCATCTAAAACAGCACTTTGATTGCAATTGTTCAGAAAACAATATTGCCAATGTGACCCTTTTAAACATGTTTGTACAATTACTGAAATAATTACATCACAATCAATGATCAATGGAGTCCCTTCGAGCTCTGCAATTCTATGATGTGATGATGTGTCTGAACTACTTAATTATAAGCATGCACATTTTATATGCCTTGCATTGTAAGAAGTAACTGGAGAATCGATTGAAATATAAGGATATGTCACTGGAGAACAAGGCCAAGATCATCCATACTGTGTACAGATCTGAAAAGTGGACAACAAAAAAACCTGATTCATTTGAAATGTTGTGTTAGATGATAGCTTTATGGACCACCAGAAATACAAATAAATGGGTTCTAAATCAAAGAAGGCCTAAATTCTCCATAGAAGCTAAAATAACTAAACAGAGGCTATCACAACCTGAACATACACTATAATGGGAAGATTCACTGGAAAAGACATGTTAGGAAAAGCAGAAGACATAACATGAGATCAATTGACCCTAGAAAGGAAGTGAAGACATTCTTATTGTTTTAGGTCTTGGCCTAAGATGGCTTGAGGTGCTTTAACGGAATTCTGTTGACATGTCTCAACATTATATTCTTTTTTAAAAAATTTATTAATCTCTTCCAGAATCCTATTAGTCTATGTTGCACAATCAGGCATTCATCCAGGCACATGACCAAGATGAACCTCAGTGTCTCACTATCTGCAATAACTTACACAAAGCTTACATGAACACTAATAGGTCTAAATATTGGCATGGCAATAAGAAGGGCAGGCAAATAATGGTGGTGGTGGTGGTGATAATGATGACAAGAGAGGAAGAAAAAAACCAACATGCCTTTTCTTAAGCAGACACTTTACAATCTACATTTTCCTCTACTTTCTGCTACAAAGTGTAGTTTCAGCAGAACCAGTTAGGGAGCAAATAATGATCCAGCTGGGAAGATCCACAGTTTGTGTCTACTAGAAAGGAATTGAAGGGAGTAAATTGGTGGCCTCACTTAACCAGAAGTTAGTGAGCTGATCAAGTGCTTTAAAGCAGTGGTTCTTAACCTTTGTTACTCAGATGCTTTTGAACTGCAACTCCCAGAAACCTTAGTCAGCACAGCAGGTGGTGAAGGCTTCTGGGAGTTGCAGTCCAAAACTCCTGAGTAACCTAAGGTTAAGAACCAGTGCTTTAAAGTGTGGCAAAAGCAAGGATAAAGGCTGCAGGAAGCATTCACAAACTGGTGTATTCCTAATCATTTCATCTGCTGATCATGGGAGGTGTGAGTGTTGTCAGTTAGTTCTATGCATCATTTAATCATAGTGGTTATGTGTGTGTGGTGTGTTTGTGTGAGTGTGTGTGTGTGTGTGTGAGAGAGAGAGAGAGAGAGAATATATATGTTTGTGTACACTTGTGTGTGTGAGAACTGTGCTGCAAAAGCTAAGTGTGAAACCCTGAGAAGTACATTGTTGCCTTCTTTCTCCATCAGAAAAAAAATCATTTATATTGTAGGAGTATGAGGAATACTTAGAACTTGCTTATTGAAATTCTTTTGATCATTCCTTGATTATTTTCAGGCCAAGGCATGAGATGGTAACAGTTCTACAAATCAAAGAAAATGATATGAATGTTGGACACAATTATTTTCTCTATAAATGAAATACACAATTCCAAACAATACCTTTCACCTCTTTGTCATTCTTAAACCATCTGATATCTGCAGCTGGCTTACTGCCAGATGTTTTGCATGTCAGCTCCATTTTGTCACCTTCCATAACTGGTGAAGTAAATCCAGTAATTTGAGGAGACTCTGGAACACCTAAGAAACAGCAAAGAAATGAACTGTAAGGTGGCTATAGGGTTATATTACACATTTTTAACAGTGTTGAGAGGTAAAAGCACTATTGATTGGTACATTTCCCATTGGTACTGATATATACTGGACAAATTTCATTATAATGGCTGCAAAAAAGCATGGCTCCTAAAAAAAAAGCATGGTTATATATTAGTTCCTGTGCCAGAGGCAGTATGTCTGTTGATCACAATGTCTGGAAGCGCAAGTGAAAAGGTGCTGTTGCACCTAGATTCTGCTTGTGGGCTTCTCATTAACCCATCTCATTTGACTGTCCACTGCAGTGCTGGATTAGGCAGGCTTTCCTGTATGATCCCCTTGAGCTCAGCAGCAGAAATGCACACAGACCAGAAAACCAGTGGTTCATGATGGTTCATAGTTCGTGGCTAACCATGAACCACCAAGAACCCTCAGAAAAGCAAACTGGTTTGTGGTTCATTTTTCTGGTTCGTACCTGGGCACTACCTGCTCCTGCCACCTCCACCTCTGCCTCTGTCATAGGTGTATGCTGAGAGGCAGAAGCAGGCTCCTGGCAGTGAAGCTGGCTGCTGCTTCTGAGCATGTGCATGCCACCTGGCTGATAAGTGGGCACATGTTTAGAAGAAATGGAAGGCTCCTGGCAGGGAAGCCAGGGCAGCTGCCTCTAAGGATGGCACCCATGATAGCCAAAGCAAATGAAACGGTAAAAGGAAAAAAGTTTAGTGTTTTGCTTTGACAATATCAGCTCACTAAACTGGGTCATTAAATGAACCCCAAACCAGCCAGGTTCTTTCTTTCTTTCTTTCTTTCTTTCTTTCTTTCTTTCTTTCTTTCTTTCTTTCTTTCTTTCTTTCT